GGACACTACGAGTCCATGTTTGATCAAGTGATTTTTAACCAAACAAGCCATAAATGTTTGTTATATAAATTTTGATATTATAAGAACCAAACAACTAACCATTACTTTTTCTGATTCTTCGAAAGGCAACAACCAATAAATATCTGATATAGATTTTAATTCGCATTCAAATAACTCAGCAATCAGTGTCAGCTTTTGCATAAAACTTACCATTCAAAACTGATCTAGAATTATAGGCACCGCATTTATGTTAAGTTATTTAACCATATAAAATGTAATATTTTATCTCTATAAAGAATATTATTCACTTTTTTAATAGTGCTATGTCACCCTTACCATCCCTAATGCTTACACCACTGCTTGCCTGATTTTTGCATTTAACGAGTATAAAATCACATACTCTCCATTAACACACAAGCTCTTTATAGCCCATCAGAGACAATTAAATGTATCAAAATTACCTAATATCAGCAATGGAAACCTTAAATTGAAACCTTTGTAAACTGGGCTTAAAACCACAACAACAACTGTAACAATCTCGAGCTTGAAATCAGTGTTTGGTCAAAAGTAAAACTGGTAAAATGGTTAAAGCGAAACAGTCAATAAGTCAATAAAAGAAAAAAACCTCATAAATCAATTAAAATACTTACACAGCTTGGCTACGATTGAGACTTGATGACTATTTTTACTACAGCCCCGACATACAAAAGGAAAGATTAGGGTTTCGATAGCTCGGTAAAGGCAACCTTATAGTTTCGAATTTATTGGTTTTGCAATGTAATTCATTTTCAATTTCAGCTCTCCACTTATCTACACAAACCACCAATAAAAATGCTATTTTAATTTAGTTATTGCTACTTTTCGTTTCCTTTTGTTTAAACTTCAATCTGCTATGAAACTGTGGAAGCAGTAAGACAAGTGAAATAATTTTTGAGATACTAATTACTTAATTTTCGGTAATTTTTTCGGTAACTTATGGTACACTTTCGATGCTAAACTACTGCTTACATTTTTATTCTTTCAAATTTTATTTACTTTTCCTAATGACTGCTTTAATTATTATTCTTATTTGACTTTAGATAACTTATTTTAACCCTTTTATGACTTAATGGAACTTTTTTCACTTTACACTAATGACACTTACTTTAAGGCTTTCACATTATCAGCGGCACTAAATAAAGAAGTTGGAGTTTAGCTGCAGTCGACAGAACTCAAACAAGTACAGATAAAAGATACAAAATTTCAAACTTCTTTTCTTGCCGCAGACAGAGTTTAAATTTTTTATCAACCAAAAATGAAGTTTTTTTTTCAACTTCTTTCCTGCATTTCAAAACCATTCTACAGTTTGGTGGGTCTCTTATATAGGGTTTTCCTCTTTTTACACCTTTTCATCTGTTTTTCTTTGTTCTCCTAATGATAACTATGGTAATTGGAATTGAGTTTAATTTTTACCTTCTGTTGTAGAACATCATAAATTAGGCATTTTATTGATTCTTTTTTCGCTTTTGAATTCCGGAGTTAATCCAAAATTTATCTCTTCAGTTATGTGGCAATATGTTTTTTTCTGTGGATTTTTATAAAAGAAACTTGTAGAACAACTCAATTAGAACGGGCAAGGGGCATATAAATTGACTAATTTTATAATTTTCTTCAAATTTCATTTAAGTAAAAGTTATACGATTCTTCTGGTAGCCACACTAGTAGTAAATTTTCTTTCAAAGGCCTTTGCTTTAGATTCGGAGTGCATGAGTCTTTTTAAAAAATGTCATTTTATATTGTAATAGGCAGTCAAATAATAAAAAGAAAGTTTCTAACTACTGGATTAAATGTGATATTGTTGATGTGGTTTGAATTAAGAGCAGAGATGTGCACATAAAATGTATCTCAGTGAATTATAATAAACTTATAATAGAAATATTGAAAAATCTTTGAAATTCCAAGTATTTGAAAACTTAAATATATAACACATTATGAGAAAATTCTTATAACATTCAATATTGAATTATTTTGTTAAACAATATCATTGTAATATACACAGATGTGTCTTCATATGGATGTGATTTACTACAGAATGCATTAACTCATGTATTAACTCAAAATTACTTATTTAAATTTTAGAAATAGTACTGCAAACCCATGTTTCATATAAGATTTATATGAAGAATTTTTCATTTTTTTTCATTTTTTTAATTTGAGACACTAAGGTTTCGATACCAATTTCACAAAACCCACAGACATCACTAATGGAAGAACCTAACGTAAATTTAACTCAGACATTCGATTTCATCAAAGACTTGTAAGGTTCAATGCAAAGGAAAATGTGTATACATTAGACATTCCATTAAACGAATTTATATCATTTACTGTTATATTACTAACTAATTACTTATTTAATATTTTATTACCATTTAGTAGTATTATCTACAAAAATGTTTAGATATTTCTTAACATCTATTAATGAAACTAATGTTTTGTTTTAACTTTAATTCTTGTTTTTATAACATAAATTAAAATTTAACTTTATATAAATATGTTTATAATATATAAAATGCAATTAATAATAGTTATTTTAGTACAACTAATATAAACTAAAATATAAGTGAACTAAAATTAAATTTTAATTTAATATAGAATTTAATATAAAACGTTGTTAATATAAATAATGTTTAAATAAGTTTTTAATATTACTTAAAAATTTATACTTAATTTATACATATCAAGAAAGTAAAAAAATATTTGATTTAAACTACAATGTTAATTTTTATATCCCTAATATAAATATTTATAATATTATAAATAAAAATAAAATTAATTTAAATAAGACAACAGTTATATATATAAAACAATATAAAAGTGAGCTAATATTCAGTATAAACAGCATTAAATTTTAGTATTTAAATTTTAGTATTTATTTCATTAAATAAAAAATTTATTAAATAAAACTTTTATAAATATAAGTATCGACCGCAATTTTTTTAATTACTTGATGTTTTTATCGGGGTTTAAGTTATTTTTATAACCTTTAAATATTCATAAAATAAATGAAATACTATTTCATGAAGACGGTCTATTTAGTAGACCGAAATATCTGCATCAATAAATAAACTTTTATGAATAAAAAAAATTAGTTTTTTATTTATTTGATTTGTTTATTAAAAAAAGAAAGACTTGAAATATTAATAATAAATAGTTTTATAAAAAATAAAGTACAATATTTACATAACAAAATAATAAAAACTTTGTATGTTTTTATCAGGTTTTAAATTTATTTTATAATAAAAATATTCTAAAAATCCTAAAATAAAAATATATATTCCTAAAATATTCTTAAAATAAATAAAATACTATCTCAATATGAAGGCAGTCTATGAAGTAGACCGAATCTGCATCAATAAATAAACTGTACAAATAAAATTTAAAAAAAAATCAATTTTTTATATATTTTATTTATTTAGTAAAAATAAAGAAATAATAATAATATATAGATACACAAAGAATAAATTGCAATATAAACATATTAAAATTAAATTAACTTTATAAACTTTATTTACTTTATAAACATTATTTAATTATATAAAATTATTATACAATTTTTAATGTTTAGTGTGTAAGCATTTTCAATAATAAATTTTAATTATAAATTAAAAATTGTTTAAAAGATATTTTAAGAATAAACAAATAATAATAGTTGTTAATTAAAAACAAAATAACTTCAGTTATAACTTTATTATTTATTTTTCTACTTTAAATAATAAAATGATACAATAATAAATTAATTCATTAAAACTAGAATAAAATACTGCTTTTATTAGTTATAAGAAAATATAAAATAAAATTCTCTTTTAACTGTAATTTTTACATCTATATTTTACATTAAGAAATTAATAATAAATAAATTCTTCATAACTTCAATTTAAGATAACTGCAATTTTGGTTCTTATATTCATTTTAATAGCTTAAATTAGAAAGTGAACTAATAACAAAATAATTAATTAAAACTATTAATTACAAAAAGAATGTATGTGCATTTCTTTCAATATTTAAATTTTGTTGCCGAATCGAATATTTTTAAAGTATTCTAACATTTTTTAGTAGTGTTAAAAGATACTTATATTATTCATAAGTAACATATACACACACACTTGATTTGTCGAACAATATGCATTTCTTTAATATATATTCATTTATATAATCAATAATAAATAAATATAAAAATTTTAAATATTTAAATTGTAGTAAATTTTTTAGTAATATTAATAGATACTTATAATTTTCATATATACTCGTAAACACGCACACTTGATTAATCGAGTTAAACGCATTTCTTTAATATATATACTTTAATATAATCTAATAATTTATAATCTTCAGTAAATAAATATAAAAATATTACATATATTAATTTTAGTCAATTTTTTAGTAATATTATGTTAATAGATACTTATATTTTTCATAAACACACACACACTTGTTTAATCGAGTTATATGCATTTCTTTAATATATATACATTTATATATAATAAAATCTATAATAATAAATATCTGTTATAAATAAATATAAAAATTTTAAATATTTCAATTTTAATAAATTTTTAAGTAATATTAATAGATACTTATATTTTTCATAAATACATACACACACTTGATTAATCGAGTTATATGCATTTCTTTAATATATATACATTTATATATAATAAAATCTATACTAATAAATATCTGTAATAAATAAATATAAAAATTTTAAATATTTTAATTATAGTCAATTTTTTTGTAATATTAATAGATACTTATATTTTTCATAAATACACACACACACACTTGTTTAATCGAGTTATATGCATTTCTTTAATATATATACATTTGTATATAATAAAATCTATAATAATAAATATATGCAATAAATAAATATAAAAATTTTAAAATATTTTAATTTCAATATCCACTAAATTATTTTTTATATAATTACTCCAGAAAAAATAACAAAAAATACAAGAACTTACCTCATTTTGCTTTCATGGCGCTGCGCTTCTTTATCTTTTGAAACTGAAAGAAGAAGAAGAAATAAAAAATATATTAAAAATTTAATTATTAAAAATTTCAGGCTTCATTTACTGAACAAAAAAAAAGAAAAAAAACCTTCTTAATATATGTAAGTATGCTTATGCGGTTCAGTAAATCTCCAAGGAGATATAACATATTTCTCGCTTAAATTTAATATTTTACCCCTATTCAAAAGCCTTCAAGTGTCAGTCATCAACCTACAAAAATCTATCAGAGAGAAATGAAGTATTTTCATGGCACATTAAAAATCTACTAACTCAAGTTTATTTTTATGAGTTTATCCTTTAATGTGTAAAATAAAAAAAATAAAAAAATGAAAAAAAAAAACAAAAAAATCAAAGAAAGAAAATAAGAATAATAACAAAAAACTATAAAACTATAAAAAAAAGAATCTTAACAATTATTTGCTGGCAATAAAACAAGCATTCTTCACACTATCAAATTTCAATGTCAGTAGAATGAAAATTGTGTAAGAATGAGAAATTCCTTAAACATTTTTATGATTATTTTCAAAACCATTAAAAATTATCATTATAGGTCTAAGATTTCAACACATACAATATTATTCATATTCTTATAGGATTTCTCTTCTTTTATGGTACTTGAGCGCTATCTCCACAAATCCGTCCGTCTGCCTGTCAATTTCAGTTACTGTCTACTCGTATCGCCACAAAAACTGTCCGTCCAAATACATCTCATTCCCGTCTCTATACTCCATACTCTATACTCCATGCTCGTATAGGAAAATGCTAAATATTTTTTATTGTTATTTTTATTGTTTTCATGTTCATTACCACTTCAAATGCCGATAAATGCAACAACTCAAGTGTTTATTGTTGTGGTAACTAACTCATAGATATTACTCATTTCTGTATAGTGCCATTGTATAATTCATACAATTCATTTATAGATAATCTACTGCATATATGTGTATGTGTATGTGTACTATATATAATGTACTAGAATAATTCCTTTATCTGCGCTTAGTTAAGCAGTAAAGTTACCACATTTGAAATTTCTGGAAGAATTTACCAGCAAAAACAGCGGCAGTGAGGCATTAAAATTTTATTAAAGCGTAAAAAGGATATTATTAATTTTAATTCTTGCAGTCCTTTTACGTTTTAATGCCAGTAAATGCACACTTGTGGTCGGTTGGTTGGTAAGCTTAAATTTTAATAGTTTTATTAAATTAAATTCTGAAACTATACACTTATGAGTTTCTATTAAATTTTGCATAAATGCTGCATAAAATGTTTATAAATTGTTCATTTTCAACAGGAAACTTTCCTATCCAAACATTTTTGTGTAACCAAATTTGTTTACCAAAAGGATGCACTACCTTGCACAGCCCTGCTCTGCTCAACTCTGCTCCGCTCGAGTCTGCTCTGCTCTGTATTTCAATTGCTGCTCGTTTGGTATTAAAATTTCATTTTTGCAAAATCTCACATTTAATGAATATCAAAAATAATCAAAAATTATTTGGTAAAATAATTTATTCCAATTTATTGTTTAGTTGTGCTAGAACTTCTTCCATTAATGTGCATCAATTAAAATTGCAGTTTGTGTCTGCTCAAAAGCCAAAATTGAAATTTATGAATATGTCGGAGCAATTTATAAATTTATTGATATAGGTTTCAAACTCATGCATATTTATATTTACACATTTACTTAATTGTCTGTATGAGGAGACATAAATCCCATCTCTGAAAACATGTTTTTAAACCAAAAATATTTTCCCAGGTGTTAAAAGTCCACCTCTAGTTTGCTGAGCCATAGCTTTTCAACTTCAATAACTTTAATTTAATTACTGATGTTTTAAACTATTCTTGATTGCTTCGAAATACCAGAAAACCTCTGCACTTAAACCGAATTACGAAATATTAGGATTATTACTATAAATCGTTAAGATAATTTGATTTGGGGCATATATTAATGCTTTGAAATTGTTAGGCAATGTAATTAATTTAGTTGTGGGAAATAAGAATTTGATTTTACTCATAGAATACATATATTCAAGTATTTTTCAATAAATAATCATAGTCAAATATGTAAGTATTTGAGTATGTAAGCATGTGAGTACGTTGTGAATATGCGTTTAATGCGGAAATATTGTTAATAAACTATATAATTAAATATAATATTTTTTGAAATAGACAGAGTTAGAAGGCAAATACTTTGAATTAACTCAGTCAAAAATATTATTTAACGATAACATCGGATGTTTTTTTTAGTATCGATATCGATAGCTATGGTTTGACAGCTGAAAATGTCAAACTGCTTCAATATTTTTGTTCGTTTAACGTTAGAATATATCTTCCAAATTGTCGAAATCTACTTTGAAATAAATAAATCTGTTCGCAAAGTGTATATAGCACTTAGTCCATTTTACGGTCAATATAATAAGTCTAATAAGCAAGCAATTTGTACAGTAATTGATTAGTTTTACACTAATTTTACTCTGCTCATTTCAAAACCATCCAACCATCTGACTGTTTGGTAAGGTTAATACTCTGATCACATCGTCGATTTTTATTTCTTTTGAAATGGGGAAGGAGCTGCTGTTACAGTGAATAGCGAGCGCCATCAAGCTATGCTGACTGAGTTTATGTTAGATAAAATAATAGTTAAGTAACTAAATGGAGTACTTGGGTGGTCATCTTAAATCGGATGAAGAAATAAGACTCTGCAATGTAGGTACAATACCATAATTTATAGGGGAAGTTCGAGTTAGAGAAGTACTTTAATGACGTTTTCGATTGATAAATCTATATTCAACCTAGATTTACTCTCAATCTGTTAAATTTTGTTGCTCACTTGTGCATTTTTAGAGTATTATAGGTATTCACTTATATTATTTTTATATATTATCTACATTTATATATTATATACATACATTTTTATGAATTTATATTTTTTATATATACATATATCCAATCAAATCAGAATAATCTTTCTACTCTGGCGAAGTGTCTATAGACTGTTATAAATTTATATTTATCTGTAAGTGTTATAAATTGTACATTTTGCGCGGGTACTACAAATCGGAAATTAAAATCGCATTAAAACAGAATCTTGATTGAAAAAGTTGCTCCACATTTACTAATCAAAAACCGCATACCTTCATGAAGTAACAGTAGACTTCCATAGTAGGTCGGAGTTAAAATTCCAAAAAATGCGCGTCAAGCAGTTTGTAAGCAAAGAATACCAGATCGAAAACATTTAACACTATATTAAATAAAATATTTAATATTGATTTGCTTTCTTTTAATATTTTAAAAAATTTTATAACAGAAAATTCTAATGTCCTATGTAATATCCTACATAATTTCCGAAAAACGACTGGAATATATAATTTTAATATTCACTTCAATTAAAGGATTTTATCTTAAGCATTAATTAAGTTATTATTTGTTCAGGTTTTCCTTAATTTTGGTTTCATTCAAATAATTTATATTTCTTCTATATAAACCATGTTATTAGACTACTAACTACTTAATACGGGTATTGTAAATCATATATAAGAATGAATAATGAAAACAAAAAGCCGCGTCTATAGCTTCATTTTTCAGTGAATTCAATTAAGTTAATAGAAAAACGTAAAATTATACAAAAAGGATTTGTAGCAACTCGTACGACTTCCGCTTGTACTAAATAGAAAATTTGTTAGACTCTTAATAAAGTGCGCCCCATTTCGTCCTTCCTAACAAAGAACACACTTTTCAACATACATACGAGTATCTACACGTACAATGGATGGTTAAATAAGTCCATATATATATATACCCCTATGTATGTATAGAAATGCGACATACTGTGAACAATAGAAGGTAAAAACCATAGCAAAAATTAATGTTTAGAATTAAATTTACGTGTTTTTATTTGCAATTGTTTTCGAGAAGATTTGTTATGCGAACGAGCTTTGTTATTCAGCGACTTCAGTAAGTTCGAGCGGCAGAGCAAGGAAGCACACCTCCTTGTTGGGAATGGTTTTTCCTCTTTGCGCCAATTTGTGGCGTTCTTGTTGTGAAAATGTAACAATTTTCTATAAACACACAAATTTAGCGTACAAATACAATTACAAATGTGAGTACAACTTTTGCAAATGGAAAAAACTGCTGAATTTATTTATAAATATTTTCTATTCTTCAGATTTTGTTGATTTTCACTTGATTACATCCTTTAGATACATGTACGAGTATATTGCATACTCGTATGTTGCAGATACTCTGTAGTGAATTGAAGTGGAAATAACATAGAACTGTGAGCTGAACTGTGTGGAATGGTGGGTAGTAACAGGTATGCGATTTGCTTTGCTATCTTCAATTGTTATCTTTTGAATTAATTTTTGCCAAGTGGAAATTTTAAATTCCGTCTCCACTCCACTGTGTTTGCCACAGTGTAAATTTTTTCGACTTACAAAATTGCCTGACTGTGATTTTCTATTCATTTTTATTTTATTTGTTTCTGAATTTTATTTTTATAAGCTTATTGATTTCATTTAATATTTGCAAGTACTTAATAGCAACCTTAAAGACGCTGCTTTTGCATCCTGCCACCACAACAATACTATCTGCTACCACAGATAACAGCAATAGTAACGAAGCAAACAAATAATCTCTAAGGTGTAGTAGATACAAATACAAAAGTATAAAGTATCTTTTTCATGTTCATATTTTACACTTGAGGAGTGTTCGTTACTTTATTGAATACAATTTCGTTGCTGTTCGTTTTTCTGTTTTTTTTGTGTTTTGGTTTATTTTGCTTTAGGGGAAGTACTCGTAAAATGCAAATTTCTTTTTATTTTTTATTAGAATATATATTTATTCCTTTTATTTTACGCTTCCTTTGCAACAGTAAGTTTTACTTCCTTGCAGCATTTTTACTTTGAAATGCGAAATTCTAATTTTATTCAAATGCTTTAAGGTGTGAAAAATGTATCTCAGAGGAGCTTTGATGGTAAGTCGAGAATATATATAACTTTTTA